GACACAGATTCCTCAGTTACGTCAGGGGTTTCAACCTCTACTTGTTTTTCGGAAGCTTTCTTTTTCTTTTTCTTTGAAACAGATTCCTCAGTTATGTCATGGGTTTCAACTTCTGCTCGTTTTTCGGAAGTTTTCTTTTTCTTTTCTTTCTTTTTACTTGAAACAGATTCTTCAGTTGTTTCAATCTCAGATGCTTGTTTTTCGGAAGCTTTCTTTTTCTTTTCTTTCTTTTTACTTGAAACGGATTCTTCAGTTTGTTCAATTTCCATTGCTACCTGACCTTGGCTTGAAGCCTCAGTATCTGATGCATGTTTTTCCGATTTTTTCTTTTTCTTTTCTTTCTTTTTCTCAGAAGCAGTGGATTCATCAATTTGCATTGGTTGTACTTTGATTTCTTGCTTTTTAACTGGTTTCTTCCCTTCAGATTTAGATTGAGGCTCATTGTCTGAATCTTCAGATTCGACATCCATTTGGCTATCATCACTATCTTCAGATTCTTCTGCTTTTGTACCAGATGGCCCCGCTTCCACAGGTTCATTTGCAATGTCGGCATAAGGATTATATAACGGTTTCGTTCTAATATTCAAGTTGTAATAAAATTAAATTGTCGTAAAATTTATATCTAAAAAATACTTTGATTTTGATTCATCAATACATACGAAATAAGTTCAAACTTTGTTTGTTTTTTCTGTTTATCAGATTTATCAGTAATCTTTGCACCAGTACCCCCCTTCTCTAAAATTCTTAATCGTGTTTCAATTATTTTACGACAGTTATGACCCATTTCTGCCATCAAATCCTTTTCATCAGCTATTGCGTCAAAGCGAGTAGCTAGTGAAGATTTTGACGCAACCAGACGTGCAACCTATAATTAGACAATGAATAAATGGTCAATCATTATCTAGGTTTGATTCCCAAATTGATTCCTAAATTTATTAAAAATTCAGTATAATATATTACTTTTCCTTTGTTTTTAGGACTAGCTTGACCAACCAAACTCGCATGATATATAAGACCATATTTCGGAGTAGCATTTTTTGTTTTCAAAGCTCTGAACAGAGCCTTTTCAGCACCCAAAATTTGAACAGTACTTGATGGATGTTTTGCAAGGTTTAATAAACTTCCAGCGTGTGAAATCAATCTAGCACCAACTAACTCTCCAACAATAGTAGTTAAATTAGGAGCAATTGCCATCATGCGACTTTTTAGATAATCGTAAAGTTCTGTACGGTAGACAGTTAAACTTATTACTTGATCACAACCCATTATAATATTATTAATATCTTCATCAGAAATTTCAGTTCCCATTGATATCATGCTGCTTCTTTGACTTCCTTTTCCAGATCTTCAGGAAGTATATCAGAAAGATCGCATTCATGAGCGTTTTCACGAAAACCTAAATAAGATATAGAACCAGGCATTTGGTAAAAATAATGTGGGAAGTCAAAAAAGAAAGGAAGAAAAAAAAAAAACATATATATATATACATATATATATATATACCCATGGCTTTAACTACTTTAGCATATGCAAGATTATCTACCACTATTTTTGACATTTCCGGGAAATGCCAACCATACCATTCTTTAACTCTCATAGCATAAGTATTTAATTCCTTATCCAAATCATCAAGTAATCCTATGGCTTGAATAATCATGGTATCTACTTTATCTGGAGAAAATTTAAGTTTATGACGAGATAAAGAATGCGAAAGACCCAATGCCATAGAAGATATATCTTCAGAATTCATGCCAGTAATCAACGAGTCAAGATGTTGACGAATTCCACGATATAAATCAACAACAATTTTTTCAGATAGAACTTGAATTCCGAGTTTTTTACTGATAGTAGTGCCTAAATTACAAATTAAATGGACTTATTAGTAAATAATATAATTATAAAAAATATTGTTTTTAAGTAACTTGTATGATCGAATTTTTATGATTACCAAGTTTTGGATCGGCTACAATTAATTTTTCTTTCTTTATCGAAGTCTCATTAAAAGTTTCACTTAGAAAATTACTCAAGTCATCAGATAATTTTCCTTCTAATACATCGCTTATTGAAGATACAGCGGACGCCATATGCTAGATTTGTCTTGTGCCCTAATCCGGTGTCGAGTGATATCATGAGTATAGGTACATCACTAGTTTAGAAGTTAAATTTCACTTACAGTTTTCGGTACGCTTCTGCAATTAAAAACGAATTTATTAAACTTTATTTGCGTATAAGCTAAAAGATCCTACAATAATAGTCAAACGTGTAATTTTAAAGCTATCGTTATGCAGTCTCTCGTTGCAGTCTCATAATATACGTAATATGTAACATAGTTAATAAAAATTAACAGCCTCGTGATTTTAAAACAAAATACACCCGGAATTCAAAATTACTTTCGGCAAAATCTGATGTGACTATAGCGAAAGACACATGTCAAATAATCACATCTAGTGACTATTGCAAGGGTCACTTAATCTACGAAAATCAGCCAATAGCCGTTGACGATGCTAAAAACGGATATAT